AAAAAAAAAAAAAAAAAAAAAAAAACAAAAAAAAAAAAGTTGTTTGCTTAAAAAAAAAAAGAATTTCATGTGAAAAAAAAAAAATTAAAAAGTATTCCAGAATAAGTTTGTGTTGGCTTGTGACGCATTGATGTCATTTTTTTATTGTGAACAATTTAGAGGTGTTTGTGTTCAGCAAAATGTGATCGGTTTTTCTTTTAAAGAAAAAAAAAATCAGTGAAACTATAGTGCCAAATTCCAAAGGTACTTTCTTCCTAGAGCTTCAGTGTGTTTCTTGTGTGAAGTAATTTGATAACATGGGTATTTTATTATGTGTTTTGTATAAATCCCTAATATTTAAAGAAAAAAGAGGTTAAAAAGTTTGTTAACTTGCTATCCTGTGGTCTTGTTGCCTGAAATTGTTATTGTTTGTTATTTCTCTTTGATGTTTTTTGTAAAACATTGTATAAGTGCCCATGTTTCACTTTTTTAACCACTCTGCACACATCAATGCTGTGAAAGCAAACCTCACAATGTATTTTCTTCATATTGTATGGAAACCTCTAAGGTGAGAAAGTTTTGAACTTTTAACCCTTTCCACCCAGAGCTGTCTTGAGTGTTAATACCTTTTATACATTCACCATTTTGCTGTTTATTTTTATATATATATATATATCTATAAATATATATATACTTAGTTTTTTGTGGTTTATTTAATACATGGTTGAAATCAGAACAATGCACAGGGCAGATCTGAAGGACAAAATTATTTTACTGCTGTCTAAATTTCTTCTGTATCTATAACTAAAATTATTTAAAACGATAATTAACTTGTGGTTTTCCTTTTTAGATTTTGGGGATTTTGTCTTTTCTTAAAGAGCTTTTAATATGCTGCTGGAATATGCTATTCAGTATTAATAAAGTAAAAGAAAAATAAAACAATTCTTTAATTATCTATCGTGTGAACCGCTCCCAGAAAGGAGTGGTAAATCCACCATTTGAAAACCTTGAGGAGAAAAAAAATAATAATAATATTTTTGTAATTTAAATAAATGAACTTTTGCTTAAATCAGATGCACTAGATCTTCCTGGGTGAAAATTCAGCGTGCACTGCAGTTAAACTACTTTTTATGGATAAAGTTTACATACACTGTAATGTTTGATGGTAGCTGCCATTACCTGTAACGGCGATGTATCGGCTTGCTCCTGCAGACACTCGTATAGAGAGGAGTAACTTTACTCGTCCAGTAGTCTGTGGGAATACAGTTGTGACTGATGTGGGTGTTTGCTGGAGGAAGCTGTGTGTAAGGAACCAGAAAAGAGATGCTGGTTGCCCTTTCACGGCCTTGTAAGTCTCATAAGATTGCATTTCTACCGCACGAGTAGTGACCAACAACCAAATTCGGTTCTTTGCTACCGGTATAGCGAATTCGTTGCCAATCCAATGTGTGTGAACAGCAGCACCTGCTACTGATGATAAAGTGCCATGCCTTCTTCCTAGCTCTATCTGATTATATTCAATGCCATCTCAATTTAAAAACAAAGCCCTATATGAACAATATCAGCTGGTGCACTCTTGTCTCTCATCCCCAACTTAAATGCTTCTTTATGTAGAGCCCTGGGATGGAAAGGACTAGCCTCTAGTGATGCAAAAAAGTTTCCTTCTTATAGCACATGCACTTATAAATAAATGATCTATACTTTTCTCACATGTTTTTACTACTGCTGGGGCCTTCCTACACCCTTTGAGGGCTATTTTGTACTACTTGCAGCAATTTTGCATATTCAAAGTATCATCTCACGTACGTTATATTATATATATGTTCATATATATATAATATGAGATCATCATTTGGATTGTTCAGACTGTTTCACTAATTCCTCCTCATTGTACCCATCGTATAAATTTCCAAAGCTTTGTTAGATGCCCCAGTGTGTCCTGCAGGTTTACTGGTCCGCTGAGAGCGGTGACATCTCTGGTCCTCGGGCAGTGTAACTTGGCATTGGCTGCAGACCCAGGCAGGTGCCCCAAATTATGTTACGTGAGATATTGGCTTAGCAGTGGGAGAGGAAGGACGGTTCAGTATTTCCAGACAAGTGAGATGGGTCCATATTGAAATATTTATTTTTATTTTATTTTTTTCAAAAAATCAGGTACAAAAATGAGAGCCCAAACATACACCTCCTTGGAGACAAATTATCTACCAGTTCTCTTAGAAAATATTGAATGGAAAAAGCTGCAAGGGTGCAAGGGCCTAATAAGAGAGGAAGAAAAACAAGGGAAATTGCTTTACAAAATTCTAATCAGAAGACTAGACTAGTTGCTTTTTTTCAAACAAATTAGCTAATTGCAATGAAATGGCAGTCCTCAAAGGAGTAACAAGTTCATCTTTCTTTCACCATAGGGGTTACAGTTCCTTGGCTTGTGCTACTCTGGAATCATTTTACTGTTTCTGTTTTTATTATCTTAAGTGCTAATTAACAAAAGGAAAAAATATCCTGTAGTTTCATTACCTTTTTGGATAATGTCATACAAAAAGAAAAAAAAGAAGAAAAAAAAAAAAGAAAAAAAAAAGAAAAAACTATGTATTTGTGTTTTTTTTGTGCTGTGAGAATTGTTGTTTGTAGATTAATAATATTATCATTTTGTTTAGAATTACAAACTAGTTTTTAAGTATTGTCTGAGAAAAGCCAAAGTTAATGCAATCTAGTGGAAACTGTAAGACCATTTGAGTATTGTTTCTGTTTTATTGATGCATTTGAATTTTGTTGTTTGATGGAATTTGAGCCAAAAAAAAAAAAAAGAAAAAAAAGAAAAAGAAAAAAAAAGCAAGCTTTCCTATTTCTACAACCTGATTGTACTTAACGCATTTTGTACCAGTGGAACTTTTTATACTGGAGATTAAAAAACAAATGGAAATTTTTGTGGCTTACTCTCGTGGGCCCCCTCGATCATGACTGATTTTCAAGTTTGATTTCTGGACGGTAGAAAGAGAGTTGGTTTTGTTTAGAGAATTAAAAACTTTGGCTTGGTTTCTTTTTTTCCCTTTGCTTATATCTAGTGTTTAGAATTTTGTCTTAACAAAAGCGGTAAGTTTCACTTTTTATTCTGTATTGTGCAGTTACACAATAAGGTAATTAGAATTAGGAGTACTCGGTCACTTTGCGTGGATAAATGTATTAGTTAAAGCGTTAGGGGTTTGCTTTTTTGCTGTTTAGATCAGAGTTTTTTCTGATTCTTCTGTCCTCATTGTGAACATAACCGTGTAGTTGAAACAGTCAGACTTATTTTTGTAACGTATGTTATTGTGTGATGCAGTTTTTTGCTTCTGTCTCCAATATTAAACCATTTTCCTAATACTTGTCTCTCTACTTTGTGTCTCGTATTGTTGGTGGTCATTATGTGTTGGTAATACATCTACACACCTCACGTGTTTCACGTTCCTGTTTTTTTATTTTTTTTTTCCTCTATTTGTTGGTTGTGTACAAAAGATACAGTCGATTCCACCTAAGTGAATATCTGATTGGGGGGCAAAAGAGGATTTGTACATTTTAGCCATGTTACGGTTTCTTTGATTTTCTTCTCTCTCTCCCTCCCCCTAGTCATGCCTTATCACTTGGATAATCTGAGCAGGAAGCATCTTAAATGAGTTTCCTGCAAAGTCATACGGAAGATAGCTTTTGTGAGCCTTCTAACTGTAAAAGCTTATGCACACAAACACACAGAGAAATCAGAAGCCATGTGAAAAGCTTTTTGCCAACGTGCCAGTCAGTCTGCAAAATGCGGATTATGGAGATCAATTCTTCCTAGTCGCTCAGAAAAAATACTGTGCCGCCGCTTCGCAGAAGCGTATGAAACATTCAAGAAAAGGAGAATGTAGCCTTGGGATTTCTTCCGAACTGCACAGTAATCTGATGGCATATGGTGTTAGTCAAACTCCTTAGCAACTAATCACATCTTAACTAGGGCTGTGAGAGCCTGCAGAAGCCTACCAGGTGAACAAGCTTGTTACGTGCAGTTACACATATCATAATTTAAAAAATAAAATTCAAGTGAGCACAGAGAGACTCTGTTAAAGCCAGTGGGAGAAAAATAAACAAAACAAAACAAAACTCTGGGAAAAAAAAATTCTCCTGTTGTTCAAACGGGTGATGTTTTTGCTGTGGGCTTACAGAGCAGCTCATTCTCAGCACTGGCTAACAGTA